CCAGGGCTCAAGGCGCCCCCATTAGAAGCGCGAGGCCCGCCAGTGCCGACAAAGGCCCGGCGGGGGGGGGGTCCAAGATGTGCCAAAAATAACGCCCTGGCGGGTGGCTCCGAAGGCTCCCCATCGGGGCTCGCGGACTGCGAGCGGGCTCTATGCGCGCGCCTGGCTGCTCAAAGACTGATGCGTTGGATGGGGCCACTCCAATAGTAAACAAAGGGCCCAGTGCGCGCCCACTCTCGGACGACATCGACAGCCCGGGGAAATCGAACTCCCCGGCGAGGCGGGGTGGCCCATGGCTGCTCAGAGAACTTGCCAGAGCAGCTGTAGAAATTGATGCCGTTGATGCTCGCGTCAGGCTGCAACGCGCACCAGCTGGGCCAGTGTGCGCCGAAGCTCTCAGAAGCAGCACCCATGCCGTCGGGGAGCTCCCGGCAGCACAGGTCCCTGACGTCGCTGCGATGGAAGACGCGGGCCCCCCCGCGCAATCTCACGCAGCCGATGCAGGGGGGGGCGCTCGCTGTAGCATGACGTTAGCCGTGCGCCGACGGAGGTCTGCGGCAGCGGCAGATTCGCCAGCATCACCGCCGCAGGCTCCTGTCGCAGGCTCATTGCTCGCAGCAGCGCCTCCAGCGGCCGACCCAGAGGCGCCGCCCGTGCCAGCAGCAGGCGCAGCAGCCCCTCCCCCCTCAGGAGTGGGCGCGGCACCTCCGCCGTCACCGACGGTCGGCTGACCGTCGGCGACCTCCACTTCTTGGCCAAGCGCTGCGCGTGGGCCTCGTGCGCCCCCTGGTATAAGTAGCCTTCACCACGGCCTGCGCAAAGAGGTTCTGCGCGAGAGATTGGGTCCCTTCACGTAGGTGCTGTGCTCGCGGGCCCAACAGCTCCTGATCGTAAACCGAGAGCTCAAAATCTTCAGTGGACCCGATGATATCCGAGGGATCGATGACCAACTGCTTCGTGAAGGAGCCATCCAAGATCGACGCGAGGTTCCACTTGGCCACTGACTCCTCGGTCTCCTTGCAGGTGGACTGGCGCAGCTGGGCCACGAGCTTGGCGCGCGCAAAATCACATTTCGAAAGCTCCTGAGACAGCTGAACAAAGAGGGCTTTCTGCTGCAACATCTTTGCGCTCCATTACTCGTAACGCAGCACGTTCCCGTTGAGCTTCTCCTCGGTACTGCGCATCTTGGAGTGGGCCAAGGATACCTGGTGCTGCAGAGTCGGTCCCTTAGCCGCTGGAGGTGGGACAGCCAGATCTGGCTCGGTGCTTGGCCGGACCCAGCGCGTCGCCTGCTTCGCCCAGCAGGTCTGCAAGCTTCTCATGTTCTCCCCGAGAAACCTCGCAAGTTGGGACGGCAAGCTGGCCTCCGCTGGGAAGCCCTCCTCCTTGGATCGCGAACTGACCTGCCGGTTGATGAGGTCCTGCAGCGGCGAAGGGCGACCCCCGGCAGCCGCCGCGAGGCGCACCGCCGCGAGGCGCACCCCGTACCCCGCTTGGGGCCATGCCACCGCCACCCGTCTGAAATGGTGCCCAGTCTGTGCCACAATGTTTGCAGTGGTTTCAGCGAGCGTCGTTCTTCTTGCATCTACAGGCTGAACACGCCCAGGAAACCCATATGGCGGGAGACTGCCCGCGTTCCGAGTAACTACTGGGGGCCAGGCACGAAAGGGCGCCAAGGCGCGTGACCCTGCCCTTGGCCACCAGCGCCACCAGGACACAAGGGGCAGAACGATGCCCTTTGCCCTGGCCGCCCTTGGTTCCTTTGCTCTTGCCACCGCCTTTCCCCGAGTCATCGGGGAACGCCATGGCTTGCACGTGATGAATGGAGGGAGACGGTCCCCAACCGTACACAAAAGCTCGCAGGCACAATGCGCCGTTTTGAAAATGTGCCTACAACGCCCAAGGCTGGTAGAGCGTAAAAATGTTTGAGCCAAAATGGCCACGGAGAAAGGAAGAGGAGGGGGAGGAGGAGGAGGAGGAAAGGGACCAGTGTTAACGCAACGCTCATCAACTATGTTGGGGTAAGCCCTCCCACCACCGCCCCGACTCATAGGCCCCAATTGGGGAACAACCGTTTGAAGATCCTGAAATTTGCCAAAAACAGAATTCTCCAGACTTCGACGCAACGAATGAACCTGATTGTTGCGTTTTGACGATCCTTAATCGGGCCAGAACACAATTTCTGGGACTTCACCACGGCGAATCAACATAACAATTGCACCCTGGTGATCCCGAATCGTTCTAAAACACCGTTTCTGGCACATTAGCCATGGGAATCCGTGGACATCATGCAAATGTCCAATACAAATGTGTGCGGCGCTAATGCGAAAACCGCATTTTGAAAAGGATCCGCCCTCAATCCGCTATCTTAAAACGAATGTGCGCAGCGCTGGGGCGAGAACCACATTTTGAAAACCGACCGGCCTCAATCCGCGAATATTTTGCAGTTTATTGAAACGAACGCATGCGGCGCTGAAGCGAGAACCACATGTTGAAAACGACCCACCCTCAATCAGGTAACCAAAAACGGATGTGCGCGGCGCCCGGGGCGAGAACCACAATATTGAAGCTTCAGGATCACACACGGTCGAGACATCTCGGGCGAAAACGCCTGGCCCGCCCTTGCAACCGGCCTCGCTGTGCGACAGGGAGGAGCTACTTGCGGAAAAGGAATGGAAGAAGGGCCTGCCTGCCGAGCAGCCCGTCTGCCGATATGCCAGACCATAGCCAGGAAAATGCAGGAACTCCGACCCCTCCCAGAAAAACAAGGAGAGGGAGGAGGAGATAAAGCAGCAGCAGCAGCAGCAAGAGCACGAGGTACGCAGCAGCCGCAGGAATAGGAGAAGGACGACGACGCCGATCTGACGGCAACAACGCCGAAGGCGACGATGGCGGTGCCGACCGCGTCGACGAGGACGGCTCCCCATTACGCGAGCATGTTTGGGCGGCAACGGCGATGACGACGACGGCATCGATGACGACAGCAGGCGGCGAGGGCGACGACGGCGTCGCCAGCAAGGCTAAACTAGCAGATGCAAAAGCACCAACTGTCGAAAATCGCGCAAATTCCAGTGATCTGCACCAGACCCTTCTCCCTCGCGCGAGGAGCGCGCCGGGGGCGGGGCCGGAGGCGCCCCAAGAAATCCCCGCGGACCTCCGCAAGTTCACGGTCGGGAGCCTGTGCACAGCGTGCGGCTCCGCCGGCGCTGGCGACAGGCTATCCGCATGCCGATGATAATAAAGGGACCCCCCCCCCTTCAGTGTTTAGAGTTGATTATCGTCGCCCTATACAAAATTCAAATTGGGCGGCGAGCGCTGAGGCCGAACTTCATTATCACCTCGAAACGCTATGTTGAGATAGCAACATCAAGCGATGTTGATATAGCAACATCAAGCGAAGCGATCACACTTATCTAGTATTTTTTCCGTATGTTATATTTGTATATATCCCCGCGCGCGCCTGAACTTTTTTTATCCCTGGGGTTGATTATCCATGGAACCTGAAGCACATGAGCTACCCTACATGAGCACTTTTAAAAATCGATGTTCATAAAGCGCTTGTAAATTAAAATTGATAGATTTGGAATTTTGAATGTGTCCTTTCTTCTTATCTTCTACTTCTTCTTCTTCTTCTCCTCTTCTTCTTCTCTTCTTATTATTATTCTACTCTTCTCTTCTTCTTTTATATTTCTATCTGTCCCCACGCTCGCCTGAACTTGATTATCCCTGGGGTTGATTATCCATGGGGTTGATGTCTCAAGCGAAATAAGCAATAGTTTGACTGTGTCTCAAGCGAAATAAGCAATAGTTTGCGGATGTCTCAAGCGAAACAAGGGATTTGTCGAGGATGTCTCCAGCGAGAAAATCCATTGTTGAGGATATTTCTATGAAAACTAAACGCCAAGGATGTCTCAAAACGTGCTCGGCTTGGTCTCCTCTTGATCATCTCTTACTTCGAGATTATGCTGAGGTCTGCTGGGCTACTTTTATTATCTCTCCCTGAACCCCGAACTTTATTATCCCCTAGTGTTTATTCTCACGGGCATGAGGTTATGCCCTGCGAGCGGATGAGTCGCTCCGCTACGCGGGGCGGGAGGCTGGGAAGGGATCGGGACGAGGACGCTGGGGGACCGGTAAGTGGATGATTCGCGTGTCGAGCCGAAGCGAGGTGGGCCCAAACCAGCGGAGCGACACTATCAAACAATTCCCGACCGTATGCTTATACCGTGCTGCTCGGTTTCGAAAGGTCGACGACGACGACGACGACGGTCGGCGACAGCGGCAGCGATGACGACGGCGGCGACAGCCACGTGGCTCCCTCGTTGAACGCACGAAATGGGCACGGAAAAATGGGCACGGTGCCAAACAACAAATGTTGTTCAAAACCGACATTGGCCGCTGTTGGGCAGGCGGCCTTCTGTCTCGAATGGGCGACGTCCGCGGCGACACCGACAACGAGTCCTGTTCAGAATGGGCCAGAACCGATGATAGTCTTCGTCCCCATGATTTCCCCAGACATCTGGCCGCTACTATTTTTTCGATGCGTGGCCAGGAAATCTGACCAACCTCTCTGGGGCTGGGTTTTTGTCCTGAGTGGTTTTCGGACGGTCCCCCGTCCCGTTGAGGACCCCCGGAAGCCGAAGGTGGCAAAAAAACCAAGCGCTCCATTTGTGTTCGGAACCTCGGATATCCCGGCTCCGTACCCACTTCGGTCGTACCCATCTTCGGGATGAGACGCACAGGGACATGCTAATACCATCTGTCCTCCTTGGGGGCGCGCGTCCGACCCGAACATATAGCATACCCATCTTGTAGTACATCGTTTCCCGAGCGGTGCGGCCAGAAAGCGCCCGCCACGACGCATGTACTACAAGACTTCTCGGTGCGCGCGTCGCCCCTGGGGGGGCGACGCACACATAGTATACGCATGCTGGGGCGACGCCGATCGGGAGGTTGACGACGACGGCGGGCGACAGCGGTGACGGCGGCGGCCCCCGCGCCGGCTCGGCTGCGCGGCGGCAGGCGCCGGCTCGGCGGGCGCCCGCTCGGCGGGCTCGGCCGCCGCGTCCGGCGGCGTCTTCCGCCGCATGAGGCGCCGCCGCTGCCTCGCGCGCGCTGGGGACAGACCTTTGACGGATTCCGAGCGGATTTCTCGTCCGGCACATGCGCTGGGGACCGATGTTGTGCGGAGCATTTCCGTCCAGCGCATGCATCAAGCGGGGCCTGGCTCACGGGGCCACCTTGAGCCGTTTGGGGGTTTCCCTGGGGGTCGTCGTGTTGCATTGTTCCTGCGCGCGCGCAGAGGCTCGCGCAACGACGGCTTCGTCGCGCGCGACGACGACGGCGCCGACGCCGACACCGACGGCACGACGAGGGCGACGACCAGAAGAAGATACGAGACCGATGCCGCTGCTCGTCCTGGAGATCCATCACCCCACGGCTGTGTTCTCCTCGATGTTCTGGTCGGAGCGCGCCCCGGGAGAGGTCTGGGGAGGTGGGTGCGACGACGGCCCCAGATCTCGATGATATGGCATTTTCAGCCGGCGGTATCTCCTTGATCCCAGCCCTCGGAGGAGTCTCGGGCCCCAGGGCCACCAGAAATGCATCCCTCCCTCCCTCCCTCCCTCCCTCCCTCCTCCTCCTCCTCCTCCTCCTCCTCCTCCTCCTCCTCCTCCTCGACGGCGACGACGACGAACGCTCCTCGTCCTTCTCCTCCTCCTCGTCGGCAAAGCCTGTCCAGAGCACGAAGCGCCCACGGGGTGACCACGGGGCGGCCACGGGCGGCAGCGTGGGGAAAAACCTGGGGGCACCGGCGAGGCGGCCGCGGGCGACCACGTGGCAGGACCTCGGCGTACCCAGCCGATGCCACGGGCAGCCGAAGTGAGAACCCACGAGCCTGAGCAAGATCTGGGAAATGGATGGTCTGTCGTTTTCCAAGTGCGGCTCTGGCTGCAGTGGCGCCGCACACGTCCGTGTCACAAGTTCCAGACAATTGCACGGGCTGGAGGGCCGATAATTTTCAGAATGCGGCCCTCGCCTGAGCGCGTGCACACTCGTTTCAACGCTAAAAGCTACGCTTCATCGTGTGTCTCTCGCTTGAGACCCCCTCAGCGGTATGATAGGAGTGGGCCCAACACAATAACTGAATGCACAGTGAATGGGCAAGCTGAATTGTACGAGCTATGTAGGGTTAGCTATGCTGCAAATTATGTGATGCGAACTATGTGGTGCAAGCTGCGTGGTGGACGCTGTGTGGTGTAAGCTACGAGGTGCAAACTATGTGGTGCAAGCTATGTGGTGTACACTATGCGGCGGAAGCTATTTGGTGCACGCTATGTGGTGTAAGCTAGATGGTTAGGTACGCGGTGCGTAGATGGTGCAAGCTGTGTACATAAGATGGCATGCGCCCGCGACCGGCCACACCCAGCAACGTGGCGAAACCTCGGCGTATCACTCAAGCACACAAGACGCCCATGAGGCGCCCACTGGTGGCGAAGGGGTGAAACCTCGATGCACCTATCCAGCACACGAGGCGCCCTCGAGGCGCCCACTGGCGTCCACGGGCGGCAACGTACCGCTCGTCGTCCTCCTTCTCCTCCTCCTCGACAGCGACGACGACGAAGGCGACTGCGACGGCGACCACGACGACGACGACACCAACGACAGCGCCGATGCCGACGACGAAGACGACGACAACAACGACCACGACGGCGACCACCATGACGACAAAGGCGACCACGCTGTTCCACGACGACGACGGAGCCCACGATCAAGACGACGCCCGATGACCGCAACAACGACGACGGCGACGGCGGCGGCAGGCCGCAGGGCCTCGGCGGCTCCTCCTCGGAGGGGCCAGCCGCCGCTGCGGCCCGCCGCCAGCAGCCTACGCGACAACGCCCAAGTCGGCGACGACGACGGCGGCGGCGGTGGCAACGGCGACGACGACGGCGACGACGGCGACGACGGCGACGATGACGGCGACGACGCCGGCGAAGGCGACGGCGGCGACAATGACGGCGACGGCGACCATGACGGCGGCCACGATGACGACGACGGCAGCGGCACCGACCAGCAGCAGCAGCGGAGCGAGGCACTTGCTTGATGTCGCCGTAGTGGTTACCATCACCGTCGTCTTCTCCGTGGTCGCCGTCGCCGTCTTTGTCGTCATCGTCGTCGTTGTGGTCGTCGTCGCCGTCGCCGTCATGGTCGCCAACGTCGTCATCGTCGTCGTCGTCGCCGCAATGACGCATGAAGCGACGGAGAAATGCAGCACGAAGATTCATTTCACGACGTCGCTCAGCACGACGGACACATGCAGCACGACGACGAGCAGCACGGCCGTTGAGGAGCACGACGGCCACTGGCAGCACGAGGATGAGCAGCTCGACGATGAGCAGATCCGCAGCATGCGCATGAGCAGCACGATGTTGGTCAGCACGACGGTCACAAACAGCACGGCGAGGAGCACGCTCCACGGTAAGCAGATCAGCAGCACGAAGAGGCTGCCCAACAATGCGGAACTGCCCAGTACATATTGCATGACGGAATCGAACCCCGCGTCGCGATCCTGCACCACGGCATGGCACGCTAACGCGGTATCCACCGCGCTTGAGCCTGGCACCACGGGGCCGCCCAGCAAACTGGCATCGAGTGGTATAACGCTGTCCACCACGACAGAATTGAGCATTCGTGCGGGTACCAGCAGTATGGTTTCGAACATCCCACGGCATCCATCACAACACACTCGCCTACATCATCGCCATCCAGCACTGAAAATGCTGGCGATGCGCAGGAACCTAACCAATAACGACAGTGATGATTGAATGGTGGCAGTGATGAAATGCTGGGGATGGTAAGACTTCGATGTGATGGTCGCCTTGGCGATGATGCTGACGAGGATGACGATGATATGTGTACGATGATAAGGGTGATTTTGATGGTGGTGCTGATGATATCGATGATGATGCTGCTGATGAGGATGATGATGGTGATGATGATGATGATGATGATGATGATGATGAGGGTGAGGGTGAGGTGAAGGAGACGGATGGGTATCAACTCACATAAGGGCTCAGGGGCGTGAGTCGACCGGGGAGGGAGAGGGCAGCACGGAGGCAGAAGTGGCACTCATCGGGTGGCGGTCCTTCCAACGTCGTCTGTCGCTTCTTCGTGCCAGTGGGCGCAGCTGTGCTTGGCGCCTGACGGGAGCCAGGGCGAGCACGAGGGAGGAATGGAAGGGCATGTGGAGGAAAGATATGCTGGGCCGAGTCGCGGGAGGCCTCAGAAACCTTCGGAGGGTTCCACCGGGCTCTGTGAACGCCGAGGCCATCTTTGAAAGCTGCGCCGAGGCGAGAGCTTCGACGGGGAGACTCTCACGCAACACTCCGCCGAAGTGCTGTCACCGCCAAAGGGCGTCACGTCCACCCTGCGCCATACCAACCAACAATCAAGCACTTGATAACTAACCGCTGCCCTCAACCTCTCTACACACTCAATGCCGACCGCCTGGCGTTACTAAGGCACCGCTGCTCCTGCTAGCCTCGTTTCGGAAGCGCAGCCAGCATGGCACTCAGCATCCCAGCACCCGACAAGAGGACGCATCAAGACTTCATGGGTCGAGCAATCGGCGGTTGCTGAACGATTGTTCTGTGCACGAAAGCGATCTGAAATTTACTGCTGGTTTGTACTTACGAACCTCCCGTGCTGAAGAACTCCGCTGGCACCACTCGTTGGGGCCACCGGGCTGTACATGTGAGGAATTCAACGATCTAGCGGCTGTGCGAGCCCGAACTTGCCTGCACAGGAGCACTGTCGCCATCAAGAAAGCAGGTTGGCAAGAATGCCCTCTGCTGAGACCATTCATTGGCGGCGATAGGGGGCAGGCCTTCTCAAAGGCGGCGGGGCTTCCCAAAATTCTCGCGCCTTCTGAGAAGCCGTCTGTGTCTTCGGAGAAGGATTAGAAAGCTTCTAGGAAGGCCGGAGACCTTTTTAGCCTGCTGAGAAGGCCCACCCCCTCTGCCTCCCCCCCCTGGGTTCACCCCCGAATTCTGGCGTCAGAAATTGAACATCTTGCACTTCTGCACTTTGCATCTGAGGCGTCTCGGCCGAAAGTGGCGTAAGGAGTGCTCAGGAGGGCCCGAGACGGCCCGAAAGCTCCCGGAAAACTCCCCAAGACGGCGAGGGCGCCACGACATCCCACGGACACCCCCAGAAGGCCAAGCTCTGAAGATCCTGAAGACATTCAAAGATAGCCGTTCCCCGCCTCCCTTCTCGACGTCTTGAACAACAAGTATTGATCCCCCCCACCTGTGCACAACATGGTTTTTCAACTGAAGTGCCCCCCTCGAGGCTCGCACCCTGCTTTTGTACCAGGGAGTCATCGTGCTCAAGCTGCGTTGTTGCCCCCCCCGGCTACAACAACAGCAACAACGGCTCCCGCCAGATATTTCCTCACACGTTATTGCAACATCGCGCTCTCGCGCGGGACTTCTTCACAATTCATGCAGGAGTCGCGCTCTCGCGTGGGACCCCCCCGCAATTTATTCAGACGCCGCGCCCTGGACACTCAAGAATCACGCTCTCGCATAGGCCTTTCCTCACGATCCACTTTGGAATCGCAGTATTTCTTCAGACCCCTTCTCGGTGCATGCAAGACTCACGCTTTCGCAACTTGCCTGCTCGACCTGGCCGCTCGGGCCCGCCCTCCCGACCCGCCCGCTAGGGTCTGCTCGCCCTATCTGCCCGTCTGGTTCCGCCAAGCGTTTGCTGCTCCTAGCCCCCCTCCTGCCAATTTCTCTCGTGCTCCATGCTTCTCCCTCCCTCTTCTACTCGTGCTCTCTTCCCCTGTTTTAGGGGTTGCGCTGAATGCACGTGGCAGGTAAGGAAGACATACCCCCATGGGGGTACGATCGAAGACGAAGAGGGCGGGTACCATGGGTTTGGGATGTACGTGTTGAAATGGCACGCGAGCAGGTAGAAACGAATAGTCAGAAAATGGTTGTTGTTATGGCCGTCGTCGTCGTCGTCGCCGTCGTAGTTCTTCTCCTTCTTCCCTCCACCTCCCTTCCCAACACCATGTGACCCCCTACGAGCTCATAGTTCTCCTCCTTTCCCCTTCTCACACCCCCACTCTCCTCCTGACTGCCCTCCTCCTTGCTCCTTCCCTCTTCCGCGCCTCCTCCTTCTCATCATCCTCTCCTTCTGTCGCCGTCATCGTCCCCATCACCTGCCATGAAGAACAAGGGTACTGGTGGAAACGGGTCCTGGACCCCAGGGCTTTCTCATGCTTTCTCTGAACGAGTCCTTCACCCTGGGTCCACGAAGGGCCCTGCCTGGAGCCCTGCTCTTCAGGCCGGCTCTGTGTCAAGATGTGGCCCCTGGACCTGCCCAGGACCTGCCCAGGGGTGGACTCTGGCGGGAACCTTGAGCGAAATCCAGCCATGGAGACAAGGGGCCTCCCAGAGGCCCGGCAGTGACGAAACCGTCGTCGACGCGATCGTCACCCCAGACACCCTCCGACATAACATGTTCAATCCGCGGCCCCACAGCCCCAAAGCTCCCGACTCCTTCCCCGAGGCCATTTATTCGCCCAAGACCTCTGACGTGGTGCGTTCTGACCAAAGCTTCGAGGAGATCCTGGCCGTGTCGACAAAGGCATCCCAACAAGGCAAAACAAAGAGCAAGGGCAGTGTTCTCGGTGCTTTTCACATCTACGATCCCGTGTCCTCGTCGTATTTGTCAGCGTCGTCGCCGGCGTCGCCGCTGGTGTCGCCGTCGGCACTGTAGTCGCCGTCGGTGTCGGCGTCGGCGCAGCCGTCGTCGCCGCCGCCGTCGTGGCCGTCGTCGCCGTCGTCGTCGTCAACGTCGGCGTCGGCGTCGGCGTCGGCGCCGGCGTCGGCGTAAGCGCCGGCGTCGGCGTTGGCGTCGGCGGTGGCGTCGGCGTCGTCGTCGGCGTCGGCGTCGGAGTCAGCGTTGGCGTCGTCGGCGTCGGCGTCGGCATCGTCGTCGCCGTCGTCGTTGTCGTCGTCGTATTCGTCGTCCCTGTCGGAGTCGGCGTGTCGTCGTCGTCTTTGTCGGCGTCGGCTTCGGCGTTGGCCTCGTCGGCGTCGGCGTCGGCGTCGCCGTCTTGTCGTCGTCGGCGTCGGCGTCGTCGCCATCGCATTCATCGGCGCCCCGAGAAGCGCGGACCTGGTGCTCAGGCGCGTCCCGCGCACCGTCTCCGCACGGCGCCGAAGAGGCGCCCGCGCCAGCGCCCTCGCCGGCGCCCTCTGCGGCCGCCGCAAGGGTGCCAGGCTGGGGGCCCACCTCCACGCAGCGGCACGACGCCGACGCCGACCCCGACGCCGCCGACGACGACGACGAGACGGCGACGGCGACGACGACGACGACGGCGACGGCGACAACGATGGCGACGGCGACGGCGACAACGACGGCGACGGCATCGGCGACAACGACAACGACGGCGACGACGAGGGCGAGGGCGACAACGCCCACGCCGACGTCGACGCCGATGGCGACGGCCACGGCGCCGTCGCCGACGCCGACGCCGGCGGAGACGTCGGCGCCATCGCCGACGCCGACGACGCCAACGCTGGCAGCGACTTCGGCGCCGACGCCGACGCCGACGCCGACGGCCGACGCCAGCGGCGACCTCGGTGCCGACGGCGCCGACGACGACGACAACGACGGCGCCGACGACGACGACGACGACGACGAAGACGACGACGACGACGACGACGACGGCGGCGACGGCGACGGCGACGGCGACGTCGACAACGACGCACGTACGACGCCGGGGCCCGATGGGTACATGCAGCCAATGGCGGGGCCTGCTCGCACCAGGCCCACCCGCTCTTCGCCAAGGCTCCTCCTGGACTCTACTACGGCACACGCTAATTGCTGAACCACTCAGTTCGCGTGCGCGGCGTGGCGCAGTGCAGTCCGCTCAGCGGGTCAAGAATCTCGCCATGCTCCATCTGGTCGCCACTGCAAAACAACCTGTTCACATTTCCGCTGACCACCAAGCCATTGCTGACGGACCCGAGGACCTCCTCAACGGTAAAATCACCACAACGCACGGGCGCCCAGGCCGAACTGTGGCAAAAATGTACCGCGTTCCCCAGGCCAAGACGGACGGGTTCAAAGTCCAGGAGGTAGAAAGCCACCTGGGTGAGCAAGGCACCAACGAAGGGCGTATCACGCCGATCGCGGAAGCATTCATATGCCACGCAGATGAACTCACCACGGCCGGCCCACGCCTGCACAGCGTACCACAAGGCCTCGCCGAAGCAGCTACTTGGCGACAGAAATTCACTACGTCCTCCACAGCACGGCTGCTGCGATTTGTGACCGACGCCACAAGACGCTTCCCGTGCCAGACATAAGAGCGAGGCGTTCCAGGGCTAAACTCTGCAAGATGAATCTCAAAGCCCTCATCATTAGCCAAGGCGGCTAACCAGGGCCTGACTACTTCGATCGACTGGGCGGGTCTGTTCGATGGCTACGACGGCGAGGAACTCGACCCGCTCGGGCTAGGCGCCTCCCTGAAGGACGATGATGGAAACGATGCTTCTCCCTCCCTAAATCACAGCAGAAACAGCCACAGCGATCACGACGACACGACGCGCGCCAATCAAGACTCCCCAACTGTCAAGGGCAAGCCGCCCGCAGTCAACAGGATCAAGCCACCACTGCCAGTTTCCGTAACCTTGAAGACACTTCCTCCTCCCATCAGGGTGCGGCGAGCAGCGAACGGCCAGTGACCGACAAATGAACAGGACCCGATAGGCCCCTTGGGGCGGGAACCCAATTAACGGATCGAAGGCAGTCCCTTACGCAGCAGCGGCCAGACGACCGCCAGAGGGTGATCGCGAAAAGGTCCCCATCGCTAGCATCTGCGTACCCCAGCACCAGACCAATCACATGGCCCAGTTTCCCCAACACATCCAGGATCAGTCTGCCCCGCCGCTAGACGGGGCCCACCGAACGCGAGCTGTCTGGGACGGCGTGCAACAAGCCTTCCGACGTGCTGCTTCTCTTCGGACGCTCCCCCAAAATCGACCTCCATGCATGCCTTGTGGCTCAACGAGAGGCACACGAGTGCTAGCACCTCCTCTTTCCTAGTGGGTTCCGCGAACAGCTAGCACCTGTCCCGCTGCTCTATTGATGGGCCGCCGCGGGGGATGCCCCCAGGTGGCGCAGTCACTGCCCAGGGCGCCGTGTCGCGCAGGCCAAAGGGTGTGTACATCTGGCGTCTCTCTGTCTGAGGGAGCGCAGAAGGGGCAGGCCTCGCCCTTATCACCGCGTCACTTTTTGGCTTCCCAGTCGGGGCCCCTAAAGACCGCGCCGGGGGGAGGGTGGTCTCCCCACCTCTACCTCCCACCCTGTGAGATCGCCTGGCGGGAACCTGCATTCCGCGAGACCGACCCTATGTCCGAACAGGAGCGCCTTTCTGTGTTGTTGTGGTTGTGGTTGTGGTTGTGGTTGTGGTTGTGGTTGTGGTTGTGGTTGTGATTGGTGTTGGTGTTGTTGTTGTGGTTGTGGTTGTGGTTGTGGTTGTGGTTGTTGTTGCTGGTGTTGGTGTTGTCGTTCTTGTGCTCTCTCTCTCTCTCTCGCCTTCCCTTCCGCCAGCCCTCGCTCTCTCTCTCTCTCTCTCGCTCTCTCTCTCTCTCTCTCTTTCGCTCTCTCTCTCTCTCTCTCTCTCTCCCCCTTAGAGCAAGGAGTAGCACCACCACCACCAGCGCAAGCCGCCAGGTCGGGGGGTCCTCCTGGTGGAGTGGTCCCCATCTCTCGAGAAACATCCCCTGCCCCCAGCTTGGTGAGGCATCGTTGACCTCCTCGCTGGAACTGCCCCCGCTGGTGGTGATGGTGGTGGTGTTGTCCCTCCTTCATTCGACTTCCTTCGTCCTAGTCATGCTTTTGTTGGACATTGCGCAAACTATGGGTCTGAGCCTGAAGCGTACGTGCCTAGTCATCCCTGCTCCTCCTCCTCTAACCTGCTACGCTTGCCCAAGACCCTCCGGTGACCCTTCCAGAACTGTACCACCCTGGCCCTGACCCGCTCCGGAAGCTCCGAAAAAAATTGCATCACTCGAAGGCGCAGGGCATGGTTTCGCCGACCATTCGCCTACGGTCCTCCCTCTCTCCCTCCTTCCCTTCCCCAGGGTTTCGACCCCTCTCTCCTTTCATCCCATTCATCCCTCCTCCTCCTCCTCCTCTTCCTCTTCCATCCCTCGTCCTTATAAACAATTAATCTCCCTATCGCACCGCGAGGCCGGTCGAAAGGGCGGGCTGGGCGTTCCGCCTGAGACTTCAGCACGGTTTACGATCCTGAGATTGGAGAATTGCTACAGTCCCACCGATGGAACGCAAGTGTTTTCAAAAAGCTGCTCTCGCACTAGCGCCACGCACATTCGTCGCAAACATTGGCAAACGTTTTACGGCTGGAGGGCGGATTGTTTTCACACTGCGGCTCTCGCCTTAGCGCCGCGCCCAATCGTCTTCAAACGTTGCAAGAGTTTCACGGTAAAGGGCGGTTCCTTTTCAAAATGTGTCTCTCGCTTTTGCGCCGCGCACATTCATCTTATGAGTCTGCAGCAATGAGCAATTTGAGATATTCTCATGGTTGACGTCCCAGAAATGGTGATTGTCACGATGCCGGAAAGTCGGGGCGCAACGGTCACGTTGATTCGCGGTGTTGAAATCCCAGAAACAATGTTCTGGCACGATTCAGGATCGCCAAGACGCAAGAGCAACGGTGACTCGTGGCGTCAAGTCACAACAATGGTGTTCTGGCACAGTTCCGGATTTTCAAACGGGTCTTCCAACGGGATACTTTCCTCAGTGGAAATGAACCTTCCCATGGACCTATGAAGAGGGAGCAGGAAGGGACGGTTTATTGCAACCTCGCTGATGCGCCTTGGGCTTACTCTGGTCCTCCTTCTCCTGCTCCTGCTCTGGCTCCTGCACCTGCTCCTGCTCCTGATCCTTCTCCTCCTC